CATTTTCTTCATTAACCGATTTGGTTAATTTCACAGATCACCTTTTGCCGACTATTGTGTTATTGATTCTTGCAGATAATTCACATAATGATTATTTGCAGATTACTTTACTGCGTCATATTTCCAATTTCTTGAAGATCATTTGGGTTACACTCTCCCCTCTTTAATTTTCTTTCTCCGGAAGAAACTCTTCAATGATGACCAACGGTTCAAGCGTTTTCTCGTAATACATCTTAAGCCTATTTCTATGTACTGAATTCTTTAATAACTTTCCTTCAAGAGTTCACAACTTATAGTTACTTTTCTCATAAACTTCATGGATAAAGTACAGTCCAATCTACTTCACCTCTAATTTTGCTGAAAATTATTTTCTAAATGCGTTTGATGCAACAGAACTTTGTTTCCAATCTTGAATTTTTTAGATACATTTTTCTGTTTTCGCTTTGCTTGTTGTATCTTAATTTGCTGTTGTACCTCATAAGCATCATTATTTTTCATGATCTCCTGAGTTCGCTTAAGCAATGTATCTTCTTCTTCTTCATTATAGGTCACTATTTTTAGGTCAATTGGCAAGGTTGCTAGTCTCCCATATAGCAGCTGAAAAGGCGTGAATCCTGTAGATCATGTTTCTTGATTCGGTAGACCAATAGTACTACTTCAATACATTGATCCCTTTCTTTTCTTCAGAGAGTTTTGCCAAACATTCATCTATAGTTCTGTTGAATCTTTTTACCATTCCATTTGTTTGAGGCCTAAACAGTGAAGTTAATCGATGTTTAGTTTACCAATCCTTGCATAGCTCATTTACCAATTGGTTGTTAAATTCAGTGCCTCTATCCATTAAGATGATTTCTGATACTCCATGTCTACAAATTATTTCTTTAAATATGAATTCTGCTATGTCAGTAGCTTTTGCTTGCTTCAAGGGTTTCGCTTCAGGCCACTTAGTAAGATATTCCATAGCTATTATGAGATATCTATTTCCATTTGTTGTTACTGGCAGAGGTCCTTTTATATCTATACCAATTCAGTTAAAAGGTCTCTTCACCGGTATTGGGTGAGGTTCTTCTGTCCTTTTGGGCTTTCCTCTTCTTTAGCATGTGTTACAATGTTGAATGTATTTCCTAACGTTTTCATATATCTGTGGCCAATAGTACCTTTCTTTCAATTTTTATACGTCATCTCTATTCCGAAATGTGCTCCAGTGAGATCCTTATGCAGATTGAATAATATCAATTCAGTTTGTTATGCTAATATAACTCGTTGGGGTTGTCCATTTTTGTGTCGTCTAAATAAATGTTGTCTGATCGTAAAATACTTGTTGGATTATTTTCTAATTTGGGATTTCTGTTGTTCATTTGCCTTTTCTGAGTATGTGAGGGTTATTAAATATTTGAATATATTATTATATTCTCCTTTATTCATTTCTTACGATGATTGGTTGTTGAGGATATTTATATCGGAATTTTGGATAATTCATCAGGTACTGAGTTATATTTTCCTTTCTTATGAATGATCTCATAGTTGTAATCTTGCAGGATCATTCTCCACCTAGAATGTCATCTATTTGTACTTTAGTTGTTATTTAGTAACCATACGAGTGTGTTATAGTCAGTATAGATCTTGAATTTCCTTCCATATAGATAATGACTAAACTTTTCTAAGGCCAGATTACAGCGAGGGCTTTCAGATTTGTGGTGTTATAGTTTTTTTCATATTTATGCAAAGTCCTACTATCGTAAGCTATAGGATGTTCTTTTCCTTATTCATCCTTTTGTGATAATACTGCTACTACTGCTACTTTTGATGCATTGGTTGTTAAGATGAATTCTTTATCCAGGTCTGGGTATGATAGCACTGGTTCTTTTATTAGACATTTCTTTAATATTTCAAAGGAATTTTGCTGCTGTTCCTCCCATTGATATTGACATTCAATTTCCAATAGCTTGAATAATGGCTTTGCAGTTTTTGAAAATTCTTTAATAAATTTTCTATAGTATGCTGTCATTCCAATAAACCTTTTGAGTTCTTTCTGATTCTTTGGTTCTGAATAATCTTTAATTTTGATCACCTTTTCTGAATCTGGTTTAATTCCATCAATTCCTATGATATGTTCAAGAAACTGGACTTCTCTTAATGTAAAGTGACATTTGTCAGGGTTGATTTTTAGTCTTGCACTTCTAAGTCTCGACATTACTTCCTTTATATGTTCCACATGTTCATCCTATATTTTTGAGTAAATGGTGATATCATCAATGTAGTCTAGGGTAAACTTTCATAGTATATCTTCTAACACGTTATTCATGAGTCTTTGGAATGTAGCTGAGGCATTGCATAATACAAACGGTATAACATTATATTCTTATAATCCATACTTGGTAATAAATGCTAGGGTTCCGCAAAATCAAATCAAATCAAATATTAAGGCAATTTGAATTTGATTTGAATTTTTCGAATCAAATCAAA